GGGGGAGGGGGAGGGGAGAGAGAAAGAGAGAGAACACACGAAAAAAACACTTAAGATTTAAGTTAAGACACCACAGGTTAAAATTTCCTTCTTCTCCAAAGGCAATCATCCTCTGTAAGAAAATGTTCTTCCAGGCCAGATGCGGTGGCTCATGCCTGGAATCCCAGCATTATGGGAAGCAAAGGCAGGCGGATCACCTGAGACTGGGAGTTGTAGACCAGTCTGACCAACATGGAGAAACCCCATCTCTACTAAAAACACAAAATTAGCCTGGCATGGTGGCACATCCCAGCTACTCAGGAGGCTGAGGCAGAAGAATCATCTGAACCCCGGAGGCAGAGGTTGCAGTGAGCAAAGATCATGCCATTGCACTCCAGCCTGCAATAAAATAAAGAAAATGTTCTTCCCGAGTGTATAGAAATTTTATCTAGGAATTGCCTGCAGGACCATTTCAACTGTTCCCCAAACAAGGAAACCTTTAGCATGGTACCACTTTGGGTACCATGCACGCCACTGCACTCCAGCCCAGACAACAGCTAAACTCCACCTCAAAAAAAAAAAGTGTCCTATTTTTCTTTTCTCTTTTTTTTTTTTTTTGAGACGGAGTTTCACTCTTGTTACCCAGGCTGGAGTGCAATGGCGCGATCTCGGCTCACCGCAACCTCCGCCTCCTGGGTTCAGGCAATTCTCCTGCCTCAACCTCCTCAGTGGCTGGGATTACAGGCACGCGCCACCATGCCCAGCTAATTTTTTGTATTTTTCGTAGAGACAGGGTTTCACCATGTTGACCAGGATGGTCTTGATCTCTTGACCTCGTGACCCACCCGCCTTGGCCTCCCAAAGTGCTGGGATTACAGGCTTGAGCCACCGTGCCCGGCAGGTGGTGTCTTATTTTTCAATGCTAACAATTCATTTGTAAATGAATGTAAAACAAGAGTTTGCACACTAAAAATGTCTAAAGTTTCAAAATCATAGATAAAAGTTAACAGTGTAGTTTCTAATGGCAGGAAAAACCTTTAAGATGTAGCAATGGAACTGCAATTTGGGAATTTAAACTCACAACCTTCACATGTGGATCAATTAACTATTAACACAAATCTTTTGAAATCTCTTTAAGATCTCTGCCCCAGGGAAAAGCAATGAAAAAGCACTCAGCAAAAGACAACTTTTAAAAAGCAATGCTGGGTCCAGATTAACAGGTCATAAGACTGACTAAAATTCAAGATGTAAGAAATCAGCTAACCCCTACCTACCTCAAAATCTGGCAAACTATTGAATAAAAAGATGCTAAAAAACCTGAAACTGGAATACTTCTCCCTGTAAATTTGTAAAACATGTATGGTCTTTTCTCAGGGTTACCAGATAAAGCACTAACCACAAAATTAAATGCTTACCTCATTATTTCTTAAAATCAACTCCAAACTGACAAAAAGAAATTTCTCCAACTCAAAATGGCATCCACATTCATCATCTGAATATCACACAGAGAAGTAGGGGAGTATCGAGCGGGAGCAGGAAAGAGAGGGCAGTGAAGACTTAAATAGACCAGATTATGTGTCAAAGAAAAATGAATAAATTACAAATTTTGTTTTGGAGGAATGCCAAAATACAGAACTAATAAGAGCAAATAAAACCAAGTAACAATTCTTTTTTTTTTTTTTTTTTTTTTTTTTTTTAGGGGGGTTTTTTTTTTTTTTCCAAGGGGAGAGTGGTAGCGGGAGCTCGGCGCCCCGCATAC